GACAATACATATATTGCCAAATCTTCTAGGACCACCATCTGCCTGAAAATAATCCCCACACTTGACCGTCTGCATTGCATTTTTCATAAAGAGGGAAGGATGAGATCATGAAAATGACGCAATCCAATTAAGACCAGCTTAATCACCTTATAAATGAAGTAAAAACCTACTGGAATAAAAAGCTTAAATTTATTCAGAGGTTAACAAGTTTTATAGAATGATTGAATGGAAAGGACTAGTAGTGTCTCTACTTGTGTGGAGTTAAATATAATCCAGATTACAGATCATGAAACAAGAAGGTCGCTATCTTCCCTTTTCGTTTGGCACGGGAAATTGTTTATCAGCTACTCAGGTTAGGAAGATGGAACGGAAAGAAGAACTTATTAAGTCTAAATTCCAATTCCAAAAAGGTAGCCAAGCCTTTGCTTGTTAGACTTTGCTAATCCTTCTGCAGTTCAAATAACCAGAGAACATACTCATGGAATTCTATGCCACCAGCACAAACCCCCCGAAAAACCATAATTCCACTGACATTACTCAGAAGTCCAAAAAAGTTATTGGATTCAGGTGACAAGCCTCTTTAATTGAGATTGGCTCTTCCTAAACAAAAATGAGCACAACCAACAAAATCCAAGTATAACAATTTTGAAACTAGAGAAAGACTAAGAATAAATAAATAAACAAACAAACAATCTGCGAAGCTTATTAGGAGGGAGATCTTGAGCTTTTTCCAGTGATCGAATAGGAACTGCATTTGGAACCTTTCCCAACAGAAGCTGATTCTATAGCAAACGTTATTCACCTTTAAGCTCGACATTCCTCACTAAGTCACAAGCTAGTGACTGCATAATATCCTTAATATCATATTCAAAGCCCACTTAAAACCAACTCCATCAAAAGATGCCCAAGCTCTCAAATAGTTAATACGAGAAACATATCCTACTGAGAAAGATTGACAGTGATGACTATTTTCAAATTCCAATAGACCTAAAACCCACCACCTCTGGTTAAGTTGGTGCCCAAAAGGATGATGTAAAAGAATGCAGGTAGAAAATGAGAAACTAATCTGTAATACCAACCAATTTGTTCCTTTCTGTATATGTTATTATACACACAGCGGAGTGAAACATAGGTTGCCAAACAAGAAGAAAGGCTAAGAATTTATCTCTACAGTTTCTTTCCCCTCACCCTATCTAACCACTTAAAAGATAGAAGAGTACACAGAAAGAGGACAAAATATCTCTAGCAAATATGCAAAAACCGTATCAAAGATACTTGCTTTCTGACAATATAAAAAAATGCTAGATCTAATTACAATGGATGATGCAGATCAAAAGATGAAAAATACGGAGAAGTTAGTATTTTACCTGTGAAGCAAATTTTAGATCAGAACCATTGTCACAAAATCTCAAATGTTTTGTCACAGAACAAGGATATCTTGTCTTGTTAACATTACAATGATTACCGGTAACTTATACAGTATTACAGTTAAATACCTTGTAATTGTCAACCAATTGGGTAAGCATCACAATCACAGGACAGTGATGCAGGATTATCATTTCCCAGAAGTCTTCAAAAGTGTGCGGTAGCGGACCTTGTGTTGCAATAAACTGAGACACGTTTTCGGATATCTACAACAAAAAGGAGCATTATAATAATCATGAAGCAGACTCGTGGAAGAGAGCTTGACATTTCCAAGAAAGCGTGGACAAAAAGAAAGCACGGTTAACTAATTCTAAATGAAGGATGTAGAAGTCTACCTTAATGAAGCTTGCATTTATATATCCACTAGCTGATGGC